ATGACAGACACATATGGCTGCGTTCACTTTAAGAACGGATCCCTGTCTCATTTGTACTGTCTGTCTGTCACACGCGTTTAATGCTTATTTAAGACATTAGACTGTCTTTACGAGGTTACTCACCAATACCAGAGTTTTGACATAATGTTGCGTGTTTTTAACTGTTAAAGCGATATAATCCAGGGATAAAACGTTTGTTTCAGGCGAGCTGTTTGAGGCGGATTGGCTTTACTGTATGTGCACGCAGTGAAAGACATCTCTGAGAGTGCGCGAGCACGGGATGGTTTAATATTGCTTGAATGTTTAAACTAAAACTTAAAAAGACGTGAAAATTATAAACGTTAGTTACCATCATAGGTTACGATGCAATGCTGGCCCGATTGTGCAAGTGAATATTTCGTCGTGTCCCGACTCCTAAACGCGAGTGTGTATCGACAGCTGCAGCGCTTAGTGTAGGGCTGCAGCTATCAATTCTTTTTGTAATCGATTAATCTAGCACTTAATCGATCGATTAATCGAGTAATCGGATAATTTGTTTATGTGTGTTTTTAAGCAACCAAAACAAATAATGTATTACGAAAATGATAAGGTGTTTGGCTTTTATTTATTTAAAAGAAAATAGAGGTATTTATTCCAACTGCAACATTTGGCTCCACAACTAATTATTGCAATTTTTACCCGTGTTTATAAGTGCCAGTGCCAACAATTATATAACAATACAGTTAAAACAATTTACTGTAAAACCTGTTACATGTAGCCCATAACATGTAAAACTTTGAATACAAACTTAAATAGTAAAGCCCATTTGGCCTTAGTTTTGTCTTCTTAATACAACATTACAAAAAAAGGATTGCACCTTCTGCAAATTACCCACCTGGAAACAAAAATATATTAATATAAAATATCAACCCAAACAGGTACACAAATGTGTACAATTTATAAAAAATAAATAAATGGAAATAAAACAATTATAAATAAGAATCAGACTTTTTCAACTGTAATCTCAAGACAAACATCAGAGTGTGTGTGTGTGTGTGTCTCACAATATTTGTTCCTCCATCACGTCCCGGTGAATGTATGCTGAAATTTTTGTTGCGTGGCTACATAAAAGTTTAAGCATATGATGAATTGCCGCAATTGGTCTGACTGGCGCGTGAGAGAGACATGGGTGCACGCGCTCGCTTACCTCTCTGCCGTCGTGCGCGAGCCGCGGTTAGGAGCTCAACATCTCGCATGCGCGCTCGCACTAGATTACAGGATATTTTAACTTGCGAATTAATATGCGGCGGTAAAACTAGTCGATCACGAGTGGCTCAACAGGTAGATCTATAGACGAACTCATCTTTCAGGCATTTGACCGAAGGGATATACACGCAGCGTGAAAAATCGAATTGCGCGAGTCTCACGCTGAATGCGTGAGAGTTGGCAGCCCTGCCAGGTATACTTTGCAGACACATTGCATCTTGTTCTCTCCCTTTATAAACATATAATGATCCCAAACTTTAGACATTCTCTGCAATTTATGAAGTCATATGTATCATGCGCTGTGGTGTGCTTCCTGAATAACGGTCCGTGTGAAACAATCAGATCCCTGCGTGCGCCATAGGAACTGCGTCATTTAACGAGGCTTCGAGGCAGATTTTTTGCCTCAAGGAATTTTTGTAATCGAGTAACTCGAGTAACTCGAGGAATCGTTTCAGCCCTAGCTTAGTGCTTGCCTAGTGCAGTGAGACGAGAAGACGCCGCACCGCGTCCGCGAGCCCTTTATATGGAAAAAATCGATTCGAGGCCGTTGAGAATCGATTTGGAATCGGCCACATTTTAAAAACGATTAATCGAAAAATCATTTTTTTTTGCCCAGCCCTAACACACACACACATATATATATATAAAAATCACATAAAACATAAAAGCCTGCCGGAAAAGATGGGTCTTAAGGCAAGATTTAAAAACATGAATACTTTCACTGTTTCGCACATCCTGTGGCAGCAGGTTCCATAAATAAGGAGCTGCAAAACTAAAAGCCCGGGACCCCATAGAAGTAGTGCGGGTTCTAGGGAGAACAAGAGTGAGCGAGGAAGACGATCTTAAAGTCCGAGATCGAATATAGATATTAAGAAGGTCCAATAAATATGAAGGGGCAAGGTTATTGAGTGCTTTAAATGTCCGCTTTGGACAGTATTCATGTAAATTATGTCGGTTATGTCTTAAACAGTTGTGAGTGTATCGGATGTGCATCAGTGCAATTGGATCCGCATGTCATTGGAAATAATCCGACGTCTTAAAGTGAAAGTGGCAACAAACATAATGTGGTCTGTGTCCTTAATATTGATCAAGCAACCAAAGAAAAAGAGAAAAGCAATCACAGTTTGTTAATAGCTTTAGTATAATAAGGATTAATTATATTTAATTTACACAAAGAATATTTCTGCTTGAAAGAATAAAGAAGGATGTATGCATGGTTATAAAGAATGCATACTGTATATCATCCATTGAAAAGGCTGTGTTGTACTTTAGGAAAAGTGGTTTTTATTTAATTTTAAGATATTTTTTAAATCACAGTAGTTAAATCCGTATCTGTATTGCATGTTCAGACTTTTAAATCATTTATATTAATAGGTTAATAGATGTTTTCTTCGGGAGTGTATGGGTTTGTACATTTTATTCTATTCTAAATTCTAAATTAACGCATTACAATTTAACTAAACCCATTATATTTTAGTCGACTAAAATCCAATGTGATCTCATGAGAATACGTATGCATTTGTACGTAAAGTGTAGTTCTATCATACGTACATATAATTACGTTTTATATGCGCAGAAACGTATAATACTGACGTATTTACAGAACTAAAATGTAAAATATTTACGTTATTGACAGCACAAAAACGTAATTTATTTACATTTGAACAAATCCACCGATGTACACATTTGTACATATCACAATTTATGCATATTAAAATCGTAGCATTATGTTTTGACTCTATTGCATTCAACTGTCTTATTCATTACGTTTTCAGTCTCATTTATTGATATAATACTCATAAATATTAACATTTTGCTCGTTTCGCCTGCATGGTGTTAAACAATACACTATAAAACCTTAAAAATACATTCTTTAACTTTACTCGTTTAACCATTTTGTAATATAGTTTATTTGCCGTGAGGCACAGAAAGTGTTTTCTCCTATAAAACAAAACATAAATTCACAAAAGACATCAATTTTATTAGTTTGATGTAATCCAAATCTTTAGAATCCATAGCCTACGTTGTTTACAAGAAAAAAAATCCTAATTCAACCTTTTATCCAGTCGTGATCTTCGCCTCCATTCTCAGCAGCAACCGTACACGTCAAATCCCGCGCTGGTGATGAATTCAAATTCAAAAATCGCGCCCTTGAGAAGCGATACGTCGTGTTTTACGGCAGAGATATCAAATGGTCATTGGCTCTTCCCTGCCTCATCACAGATTGAGACATGAAGGACTGTGACGGTTGGTTTAGTTCTTTTGAAATAGTGCGAAGCTGCGAACTGAAGCCGGATGAACATTTTCATTGATTATTAATTTAAATTCTGCTCTGTACTTCATACAAAACTATTACAATGTTGCCAGAGAGGACTGCGACTGCAAAGCATCTTCATGTGAACGGCTTTTGGTAGCGGTTTTGACATTTTCGCAATAAATATATTATTGTGATTATACTTTTCTGTTAGTCACGTTTTTCTTCATAATTGTAACGTTAGTTTACGTAGTTTTAACGAATTGTTAGGGGTAGGTTTAGGGGTAGGAGTAGGATTGGTGGCTCAAAATATATTTTAATGCCATATTGTTAATACAACTGCCATTTCCCAACACATCTGTCCATTATGTTTTATCCTTTTTTTATATTCTGTATAAAATACACTGTAAAAAAATGTCTTGTCAAATTAACAGTAACTTACTGGCAACAATTATCCAGTACTTGCTGTATTTCATTCAACAATAAAATTACTTTAACACTAACTACAGTACTGTTAAGCATACTGTAAAATCAAATAACATTATTTTACTGTAATTTCTTACCATATTAAAGTACAGTATTACACTGTTAATTTTTAATAATACTGTATAGTATTATACAGTTATGAAATGTTATTGTATTTATTTGGTGCTACTGTGTAACCTGTAGAATATGTAGAAAATCCGTAGAAATAGAGTATTATTTAACAGTTAAAATAATATTTCTATGGATTTTCTACATATTCTACAGGTTGCACAGTAGCACTATAGGAAATAGAAAAAAGAACAATTGAAGCTTTAACTGCTCAAGGTTTATTGTGTATTTTCAAACACATTACATTTACATATATACATTTAAATACATGAATAAAATTAAATACATGAATAATAATAATGTAATATAATACAATTTAAATCATGCATGAAAATCATGAACAATCATGCGTTTCAATTCATGCAAAAATGATTATGAACAGGTAAAATAGAAAAGATTAAAGGGGCGCTATCTGATCAATCTATTAGAAAGGGGGGGGGGCTTAAACTAGATAGTCTATTGGTTTGAGATAGACTGTCTAACTGGTCAGACTGGTCTGTTGCTGATTTTAAAGGGTTTTGGGCTCCTTTATAACTAGAGGACCAGATTTGCAGGGCTGGGAGAAATGTATAACTACACTTTAACAACTACAGACCAGTGTCATTGCTCTCTCGGTTTTCTAAAATCCTTGAAAAGTTGTTTGCTCAAAAATTAATTTTTTTTTTTTAGAAAAACACAAATTATTTAATGAAAAACAATATGGCTTTAGAGATAAAAAAGATTAACTGCTTTGGCATTAATTGAACTCATAGGAAAAATTACATCTGCAACTGAGGATAAAGCAATACACAGTGGAGGTCTTCATCAACTTAAGCAAAGCATTTAAAGGGTTAGTTCACCCAAAAATGAAAATTCTGTCAGTATTTACTCACCCTCATGTTGTTCAACCCCGTAAGACATTAATTCATCTTCCGAACACAAATTAAGATATTTTTTATGAAATCTGAGAGCTGGATCACTCCTGCATACTAGTCCATAGGCTTTGGTATGATTTTTTCTTTGGTATGATTGGCTTGATTTTTGTTAACGCAAATACACACAAATGTGGCATTTTCTTTTCATCCATTATCTGTTGGTCACAAAAGTACACAAACACACATTTGAAAACAAAAACAACAACATTTGAAAGACCCACAACTGTCTAGTTTGTAATGTCAAATAATGCTACAATCAAGATGAGGCTCTATAAAAGGAGTAATTAAAACAAAGAATAAGACAAACAATACGAAAACATTAAATACAGACTTACTATTTTAATTTTGCTGTTTGGCTTGATGTGGTCATCATTTATGTATCGTCCGAGATTTTCTGTAGCTTTACTGCCATCAACACTGTATGGTGAAATATTTAAAAACACTGTATATAAACATACCATAATATGATGTAATTATACTTCATTAGAACATTCATTAATTTAATCTTACCAGTAAGATTGTCCCTGAAAGGAGTAGAAATATAAAAAAAACTGCATCTTCAGCTGAGTAGTCTTTGAGCAGGGTCTCTCCTTCAGATCCAGCCATGTGTCTTCCAACATACTCCAGTAGGAATTCTCCTGGCTCAATATGTTTGTGGCGATTACTCCAAAACCTAATAAATTGGGTATAAATAAGTGTAAATTAAGTATGAGAAAAGATTCATAAAGTTGTTAAGGTTGTCTAAACTGTTTTAAATGGTAGCCCTGCTTGGAAAACAAATACGATATCTACATCTAAAAGTGCAAAACTACAAAACTCATATGTATCATGACACTGAATATTGATAATTTCCATTGTTAAACAGGCCCCCGGAGTCTAACTGGCAGTTACATACAAATAATATCAAGATCACTCGCACATCTACACAATGGAGTTTAATTTGGACATCAGCAGCTAGCATAAATACAGGCAGGAAAACAGATATAAATCCACCTTTAACTGATTCAATCATGTTTTTTTGTTTCTCTTGTGTTTTTTTTAACAGCCTGTTGTTTTTAGCTACACATTTTAAACCCAACCATTCGACATTATTTAGAGACCAAACTTAGCTTTTAATTAAGTTTTGCAAAGTCATACTGATGGCAGAATTGAATGCCGTAACTTACCTTTCTCTTCACACATTAATTTTTTCTCGAATGTGTCTTTATCTTTCCCCGAAGCAATGAAGTACAAGGCTTCCTTTTCAGGAGAAACTCTTTTGGGTCTCATTTTCCTGTGAAATATAAGAACATTTTATGCAGGATATAGTGCATATGCTAAGTAAAAAAAAAAAAAAAAATAGAAAATACTCTAAAAAAAAACTCCTTAGAATTGTGTAGACAATAACTTATTGAAAAGATGACAATGTGGCTGATAATTTACTACATTTTTACTATACTTTTTATATCAAGTATTTTTATAAAATCATTTTAAAAAAGAAACTGAATATCAAATAATGACCAATCTGCATGCACATTTACATTGTAAGAGGATGCAAAAACATTGTATAATGTTAGCATTTACAAATCATCATAAAATGAAGTTAGAATGTACAACTTACCTTTTACTTCGGAAAGAAAAAAAGTGAGATGAGAAATGGCTCAGTGCGCTTAGGATCTTGGGATCTTGTAGGTAGATAAATCTTTAAACTATAATAGAAAGATAACTCTCCAATGTAGGAAACAATCTCGTTGAAGTCTTCTAAAGTTGTGCTCTTCCAAATGCCAAACATGAAGTGTGAATTAGGAACCTGGAATAGAGAGATATACGTTCTGCTATCGGAGCAGTGATTGGGCCATCGGATAAACCACAGTTAGCCAACATTACTATTGGTTCTGTTATGCAAATGTTTTGTGATTGAAATCAAATAGCTAGATTAACATAAGGGTAGAATCTGTTGGTAAATTAGTTTTAAATCCAGTTGTAAACATCAACTGGATCAGGAAAAAGTACTTTTCATAATTAGTATTATTTTGCATGCATTTTAAATAGAGCACAGAACACAAACCTATATCAATGGCAGATAAAACATGATAAAGTTAATAAAGGAAAAGTTCAAAAATAATATCAAACTATGGGATGGTGCAGCATTTAAAGAAAGTAGGCGATATACAATTAATTTACTATTTAAAATATTTTTAAAGACAGAAAAAAGTAATTTACCACAATGTAAAAAAATAAATAAATAAAAAATCTGCTCATTTATAAATCAAATGATGTTATAGGGATGTAGCAGATTACCATGGGCATTCATATTTTTGTTGGTTTAACTAAACCTTTATACCACATCTGAAACGAAAGCTCATATTAATAGTTCCTCTTGTTGAATCTCTCAAAAAAATACATGCAGAGTCCTCAGAGTGTTTTAAGTATAGGATGACTTGTTTAAGCATGTGTATTTTTAGGTCTAAGGTAAACTTTCACAGCCTGGCCTTTGAAGCCGTTCTCCATAGAGATGCTAATGTCCTGCAGGTAGTGGGGGTTGCAGCTCAGTCCACTCAGGGACTGAAAACACAGTGAGAAAGCGTCCGATCACAGCCATTGGGATATGTTTCAATCAGCTCTGTAATTTAGCAGAGCTGTTTACAATACAGTCAAATCACACCACATGTATTTTTACACGTTTATATATCAATGTTTATACTTAAACACATTAACATTTTCTAAGACAGCCCTTGTTTTAGCAGGTGGGGAATAAATGAAATATGATGAGTATGTCATAAATCTTGCTTTAGTAAGCAGACACTTGAGAGCTTAATGTTACTTACTCAGACTGTTAGTATTAAACAGATATGTTAGCTCAAATACAAAAACTTATACAATTGATAATACTTGATAATACATATTTGGAATGTCTAAAACATGGATGTGGTAAATGGATCTAGGAACACAACAAAGCTAAAACCATTACTGAAACCATTTTGATTCTGTCAAAAATAATTTCTAACAATTGCACCCCTTACATGTCCAGTCAGTCCCTAATTCAATTTTTTAAGATGTTTTCAAAATATCCACAGTGTATTTTTTAATGTATGTTTGTTTTTATTTGGTGTGGCTCAGATGATGAATGGAAGTGCATGTTTATGTTATTTTTGTGTTGTTGTTTTTTTGTCCCAAAATAAGAAACCGTAAGTGAGTGCTTGTAATAACTTCCAGTTAAAAAATATTCATAATTACCGGTTGCTTACATGCGCTCCTCACAAAGATTAATACATTTTTTAGGTTAAAGAGCTAAGGATGTTAAATCCACAAATATCTTAACTGTTATCCATAAGCCAACTGCAATTAAGACATTTGATCAAGAAGTTTATGACAAAGAGAACGATATATCTAGCACAGAGAAACAACCTGTAGGAGCGGGATTTGATCAGATGTGAGTGTGAGCGGCACACAAGTGGAACGTTTGCTTGGATTGGGTCGAGCGCAATGCAATCTTTGCTCAAATGCTCTGATTGGGATTAAAGATTTTTAAATAAAATGCCATAGAGAAACAGATACCATATTATTAAGATATCCACAGAACTAACCATTTAAAAAGTAAAATTCCTGTTTTTTACATAATGAACCTAAACAAAAGTATTTTACTTTTAAAAATCCTATTTACTTTAACTTTTTTAACGTTTTACATCAACCACCAGTATGTAAACGTTGAATTAACTATAAAGTAAGGTGAAGTAAATGAGTGACAGCCCTTTTCACGTCCCTAAGTTGTGGCCAAAATGTTTTTCCAGCTTTTGCGAAGAGTAGAGCAGACAATATAATAAGTGCCGAAGCAAAAACAGTCGATACACTTGTTACAACTGAACAGGTTATTTACAAATAGTTGATGAATGAATCCGCTTAGATGAATAGCTTATTTACAACAACAATATGATTTTCTGTCTTAATTCTGCCTCTGATTGTTTCACTGCTAGTATATCTGCTAGTGAATTGAAGCATTTAATGTAGTCTATTAACACCTGGTCTAGCGAGATAAAAACATGCAGGAAGTTACTAAACTGCAATCACCTGTGATTATCATATGTAAAGGCAAATTTACCTAGCTTGAATGTAAATCGTTAACCACACATTCCAAAAGAATAGTTTTAAGCACTATGTCAATGAAAGGATATTGCTGTTTTTTGTAACTAAAACAACTCAATTCACACTAGTGAATAGCTGCTACTATATGGCTACTTCACATCTGGGTCATTCACCCTTCTCAGTGTTTATTTTTCGATAATAGACGGCTGGATGTAGCCTACATCCCTTACTCACTTTACTAACTAACCAACAAATTATTTAAACAACAAAAAAAAAGTTAGTAAAACTTAATGTTAGTAAAAAAATAAGTGGTTGGTTCATTTTCATTAATTTGGTTAAAAAACAATATTAATAAATGGAAACTTATAAAGTGCTACCCATTTTCAATGAGGTTGTGTTTTTTAAGAGTTACTATAAACTTATAAACGGTTGTGTTTTTATGAGCTCATATGAATAAGATAAATACACTTAATTAATGTATTATAATAGCATTGGTTACTTCAGATTACTGAATGCATTAAATTACCGACATTAAAGGAATAGTTCACTTTGAAATTAATTTTTGATATGTTTTATCTTACCTCAAGGGCATCCGAGATGTAGGTGTCTTTGTTTCCACAGTATTTTCAATTTTGACATTTTTTGGTCAAACCGTTCTTGTCTATCAGTCCAACACTATCAATTCGTACGAATTTGACGCATGATTAAAAAGTGTCTAATTCGTACGACCTCACTCGTACTAATTCCTACGATTTGTCTAAACCCACGTGATGGTTAGGTTTAGGGGTGGGGTCAGGGGTGGGTCATTCGTACGAATTCATACGAATTGGCCAATTCGTAAAATATGTACGATTTAGCCAAATCTTATTAATTCGTACGTGTGAGGTCGTATGAATTGTTACGAATTAGCCACTTTTTAATCATTCGTCGAATTCGTACGACTTGGTCGTGAGATCGGGTTGATCAGTCATACACTGGAGGTGAAGGGGGTCCACCAAAGAGCAGCACAGAGAAGTCCAAACCGCAATGGAAGACGATTTCGGGATATCTAAATATGTTTAGTAAAAGGTAAAACTTCCGAAATCTCTGTGTAAATATTGAGTGACGTCACACGCAAGCGATCACTTCCGGCGTAACATTGAACTGATTCAGTTCGGTTCAGTTGGACATTGAACAACAGATTCAGATCACTGTGATTACAAGAGGTAAAACGATATAAATACTGTTGGTTTTCTCACACAAACCGCTCATTTCGTGTCTTAGGCCATCAATGTGTACTTACATTTACGAGTCATTAAATCATGTTTAATTTGGACTTCTCTGTGCATGCTTTTTGGTGGACCCCCTTAGCCTCCAGTGTATGACTGATAGACAACAACGGTTTGACTGAAAAATGTCAAAATTGAAAATACTGTGGAAACAAAGACACCTACATCTTGAATGCCCTTGAGGTAAGATAAAACACATCAAAAATTAATTTCAAAGTGAACTATCCCTTTAAGAAAGTACTGGACCATGTGTTGTTTATTTGGAGTTCCATGCATATTTAATCTAGTTCACTGTTTACTCACCAATACATTGGTATAACCCCAATTAATTTACTATTTAAAAGATTTTAAAAGACAGAAAAAAGTAATTTACCACAATGTAAAAAAATAAAAAAAAAAAAATCTGCTCATTTATAAATCAAATGATGTTATAGGGATGTAGCAGATTACCATGGGCATTCATATTTTTGTTGGTTTAACTAAACCTTTATACCACATCTGAAACGAAAGCTCATATTAATAGTTCCTCTTGTTGAATCTCTCAAAAAATACATGCAGAGTCCTCAGAGTGTTTTAAGTATAGGATGACTTGTTTAAGCATGTGTATTTTTAGGTCTAAGGTAAACTTTCACAGCCTGGCCTTTGAAGCCGTTCTCCATAGAGATGCTAATGTCCTGCAGGTAGTGGGGGTTGCAGCTCAGTCCACTCAGGGACTGAAAACACAGTGAGAAAGCGTCCGATCACAGCCATTGGGATATGTTTCAATCAGCTCTGTAATTTAGCAGAGCTGTTTACAATACAGTCAAATCACACCACATGTATTTTTACACGTTTATATATCAATGTTTATACTTAAACACATTAACATTTTCTAAGACAGCCCTTGTTTTAGCAGGTGGGGAATAAATGAAATATGATGAGTATGTCATAAATCTTGCTTTAGTAAGCAGACACTTGAGAGCTTAATGTTACTTACTCAGACTGTTAGTATTAAACAGATATGTTAGCTCAAATACAAAAACTTATACAATTGATAATACTTGATAATACATATTTGGAATGTCTAAAACATGGATGTGGTAAATGGATCTAGGAACACAACAAAGCTAAAACCATGATATGATTTTCTATCTTTTAACTTATTTATATTTTTAAACATAAACGAGGATATTGTAGAGATTACCATATTGTTGTTTTACTGTCTACCTCTCAGCAACAAAAACTAGTGATTGAATGTGTATGTATGTAAATATTCACTGATTCAAAAAAATAAACAAGGTCCTATACACTTGGCATTAACTTATATATATTTTTTAGATACAATCATATTGGGACAATGATATACAGATGTAATCAGGATCTGAATGAGTTTGATCTTGTCTACTTTCGGCCATGATGATTGCAAACGAGGATGAAATAAAAGCTGTATTTAAATGGAGCAGTTATTTAAAGTACATTGGTAAAACCACAATGAGCTGAAAACCATACACTTATAAGAACCGACAAAAAAGGAACAAAACACAGACAGAAACCTAACACTTTCAAGTAGGTTGAAATCCAATCACACATGGTGACATACACGTTTAAAGTGACTATGTGTAAACAGCCATTTGTCTTTTTAATTTCTTGTGATCAGATTGATGAAAATTCATGTTAATAACAGGTGTAAATGTGGCTCGATGTACATAATTTTCTTAGATTTTTAATTAAATTCATTATTGCTGTTGTTTTGTTTTGGTGTAAGACTACCCCAGGTGAAATACACCAATATGAAATTAACAGGAGTAAAAATGTATTGTTAATTGTTAAACGGTAATTGTAACAGGACTTTTAATGACTTACATAAAATGTTGCAGACAAAATAATCTGAAAGTTATATGGTGTTTATTTCTTTGGGACATTTAAAATAAATATATTTTATTAAAACTAATCTGAAGTAAATAATAAGATCTATCACAAATCTATGTTATAACTAAGTCTTAAATTTACTTTTATATTTGTTTTTTTTTTTTGTTTCTTTTGTTTTTTGCAGTGTATAAGGTCAAAATTTTCTTGATTGACACTGGGCTAGTCCAATCACATCTTTAATCACCTCCCCTCTGGGCTAAGAGAGCGTGCAGTGTCAGTGAGTATCTGTCAAAATAGTCAGAGCGATGGAGAAGAAACACAAGGAATGTGCAGAGAAATGGCGTGAAAAAAAAAAAAAAGAAACCGCCTTCAGTGTCTGATTAGGAGTGAGGGGGATCATGAGAGACATTGAGTGTAGAGAACTGTTTGTTAGAGATATTTGACAATTACGCATTTTATTAGAATTATAATGAGAGTATAAGACCCGTTTGTAAACCATGTTTTTTGTCAAAATAAAAGCTGAATGCCGTTTCCATCAAAATAAAAGATAATGTTTTTATATCTCTTTCAAGTTACAGAAATTAGTTCTAAGCTAATAATGAAAGTTGCTTTTATTTTCAGTGCATGTGTTTTACAATATATGGCTATAACTGTCTTGTGATTAATATTATAACTATGATTAATTATGTATTATGTAATGTAGACAGACACTATATCCCAACTAAAAGAGTTTTGAGTTTTTCTTTGTTCAATTTGCACACTGAATATGGGTTGGAGCTCTTAAATTTGAACTCTCAAAGTGCACCAGATTGATGAATTTAACATTAAAGGGTTAGTTCACCCAAAAATGAAAATTCTGTCAGTATTTACTCGCCCTCATGTTGTTCCAAACCCCGTGAGACCTTCGTTCATCTTCGGAACACAAATTAAGATATTTAAGATATTAAGATCGCTCCTGCATACAGTCCATAGGCTTCTTGAGGGAATGACTCTTGATGGCAT